TCGAAGCATGGAAGATGAGCTACACGCACCCGATCCAGTATCACGAGCTCGTGCTGGTGTACACATGTGGAGCAGAAGCCTTAGCGTGGGTAAATCACACAGATGTGATATCTGGTGGGACATTACGATGTCAATACTAAAGTGACGATAGGGCACGGTGCACAGCCCCAGTCACCTGCATCGGTCTATGTACGACATACCGCGTTAACTGGAGATGAGCCTAGTCGCTACGCGCTAAACAAGTTCCAGTTTCTGCACCTCGTCTAGGGTGATCGTACAGTAGGTGAGTGATATGTGTTCTGGAATGTGTCTTATGATGAAAGGAAAGAGGGGAGTATCAACGTCTTCATATCAAGTGCAGAAGCAGCGTTTAAGCGTCCAAAGCCCGCGCAATCCGTTTCCATATAGTCTAATTGTGCTGTCCACGGACTTCAAATCGCAGCGCGAGAGTACGCCTAGGTTATTCACGAAAGATGCAGGATGCAGTAATCGGCTGGTAAGAGTGTACATTTCCCCATCATCAGCTGTCCCTAGGCTTATAAATAACAACCTGACCGGATTGACTGACAGGTTGACGTCTGCAGACCACATGGAGAGACGGTGGAAGCTATGTTGCAACACGTCGCAATATTCGGGCGCATAAATTACTCACAACATCTCGTCAGATCATCCACAAAGAATGCGCACTGCAACCGGAGATCAGGAGTAAAATTAGCCCCAACACGGTACCTTCAGGCGTGCCAATGGTCGGTGGATACCAGTCGGTAGGATGGTCAGCTACGTGTACTCTCCATTTTCGTCCTGACCCAATGGTGCTGTGACCCACTAGTACCGCACACCCTCAGCATGCGGAGCACGACCTCAATATTGGTATTGTCGAACATCTTACTGAAGGCGATGTAGATTATGTCGACTGACTTACCCCAGTCGTCAACTGAGCGGCCACGGGCAAGCATAGCGACAGGGAGACGCGAGCGCAATCAGCCTGTGGTCTCTGGAAGTAGGCGATAACACCTTTTAGAGTGATTAGGTGTACATGAAGTGAGAGGAACTGATTGGTGTTCTGACAAAGCAAGCACTCGTGCAACGGAATCGGGGAAGCATGCATACATGCGTGTTTGCCGCACCGGAAGGAGTCTGGTACTGTGGGGAAGACGTACGGATGGACTTCATAAAGCGTGCATGCAGCTGAGCAAAGAGTTGCATTTCATCAGAAACAAGTGGCACAAGGAGAAGTTGAAAGAGACCGAACAGTATGCCGGAGGCTGCTAGCTTAAGGAATCTTAGGACAGCCATCGAGGCACAACAAAGGTGAATGTACAGGAAGAAAGGTATGCTGGTAACGGATATTTCCACGAGCACTCCAGAAATGCCGTCTCTCTGGGGAAAGTTGGAAATACAAACTTCGTATATATAACGGCTCAACACCATTCACTTGGAATGCTGCACCACCAAAGCACCCCAAGTAAGTTAGTTCTGAAGAGACTACATACGTAAATTATCTTCCAGAGTTGACGGCCAAGCAATATCGCGGTTGGGGTCGATGCGGGCGCAGTTAAGGCGCACTTAGCTTAGCTCACTTTCGCCATCCATACTTGGCAGCGTTCGGTGAGAATGTTGGCAAGCTAAGTGCTGGTCAGGCGGAATACGACCAAGCCTCGATTGGGTCGGAGCCCGCCCAAACCAAGTGGTATCACTCCGAATTATAACAACGTCCACCCACAGTGAGAACTAAGCCATACGAGCACTATATGTAGATTCGACTCGTACCGGTTCGTTTCAAGTAACAGGTCAGCAAAATAAAATTGAAGGAAGCAAAGGCAGAGGAACAAGATAGCATCGCTGCAGTAAGCAGTTTAATGATGGAGCCCCTCATTGAGCAAATTATCGGCATGAAGGCTGTGTGCTAGACCGCACTGGTAACGAATAGCAGCAATACTCTGGGGTGTGGGCAGTAACCCAGAGGGTAATATGGGCAAGTATTTTGTTAACACGAAACAGGTGTAGTGAAATCATTCAAACATGTGACAACAAACGTCAAGATACTCGAACGATGTAGAAAACAAGCCACCTCAACTCCCGTGCGGTATTCGTTTAATCATCCCACATAACGGAATTCGGCCGGAAAAAAACAGAAATTATCGAGTAAAAATCCTGCTAACCACTGATCTTGTGGTAAAAGAACTGGAACATAAGGGAAATCTGTAACTTGCATGTTGAATGGTAGCTTCAGGGCAATACGAATTCGTGATTGTAGTGCACACAATTTGTATACATCAACATAGCTTAACAAATAAAAGAACAATGACTGATCAAATCCCAGAAAGGTTAGCAAAACAAATGAGAAGATGCAGCATATTAGGGCCGTACCGACATTGCTGTTCAATCCAAATTAAGAATATGAAACGTGAGATGGTTTTTAACAATTGCAAAGCACACTGCCCGTTTCAAAGAATAAGGAGGAGTCAGAGAATCGTTTACTGCGTCTACAGACCTAAGACAAGTAGGTAGGGGTAAAAATTAGACAAAGCGTAAGGGAGATGGTAGAAAAGCCTCAAGTAGCCAGTGAGGACAGCCAAGTAACGGGACCCGGTGTAGTCTAGTAAATCAGAAACAAATGTTTACGATTCAACAAGCTGTTGATAGGCAGCAGAAGAGGATCGCTTAGCTCATGCTTGAGATCTTCGCAAACATGAACCGAAAGAAAAGTGACTAGGCTTGATTTCGCCTGCGTTTGAATTCATTTCGTGAACCACAGACCAAGCAGAAATTCATCTGATGGTCCCTAATATCGAATCCTCAAGTTTGCCAACACAGGTACTATGAAAAGTGATGAGGTTGGGCATTCATGCCACCGACAGCACGGAGCACACAACATGCATATGTAGAAGTGCGCACTTAAACTGACCCAAGTGAACGAATTCGATTTGACCGTATGTCGGCTGAGGTGCTGACCTAATCCGTGTGCAGTGTGCCTAGAATCCGATATTCCCACCGTAAAGTCTAAAGAACACAGTGCATGTGTAGTAACTAACAAAGCAGAGTGGAAAAGAATAAAGTGAAGTCAGACAGAGCTGACTTCAGTTGGTTGAAGCTATAGAGTAAACTGTATGCAGCATAGACCAGCAACAACGGTACAAACTCCAATACAAACAAGTGACATCGTGTGGATTAGAAAGTGAGTTGAATTCATGTAGGTAATACACCTATCTGCTGTTGCGTATGCGTAGCTTCAGCAACCGTGATCAGAGGAATTCGTCAGTTCGGTAAGCCAGAGCAGATACAGGTTGGGGATGCATATCAAAATGGCTTGTGGGACTTAAGTAGTTTTGAGCCGGACTATGAAACATGATGATGATAATGGTTAAAGTGTGTCTGCTTGTTACTCTATCTTACTCCATCAATTGTGCTAAGTCTATGGTCTCTAGCTGCTCATATTTAATTCTTATGTTACCACTTTCAGGTGTACCCTACCATGTCCGAAGAAAAACAAAGATTGAAGCACAGAGCAGTCGAAAGAGTTTCAGCCCCAGAGAACATACAGCTGCAGGAAATCCATGAACACATGATGAATGTATGCCAGGTGTGGAACAGTTGAACATTGGTCTGCCGAATGTCACCTAGGAAGGGTGTCGCTCTAAAATGAGTGAGGATCAGAACGACCTGTGGATACAACTTCTGAAGCAAACAGCGATGCTGTAGAAAAATTGCTAATGGACGATTGCGTGAAATAGCGTATCTACTTAGGAGAAGTATTCATAAAGATTTGAATTTGTCAAAGGGGTGTGCGCGATAGGTGCCGAGAATGTTGACTCTCTAAATAAAGAAAAACTGTGTCCAATGTTCAGAAGTAAATTTTGTACTCACGCACAAAGACAGACCGAATTAAGCAGCTAGTAGTGACAGGGTGAGACTTGGATCCACCGTTACGATCATTAAATCCCAAGATTCTCCAATGCCCAAGAAATAAAAGGTCCAGTTTAGTGCAGAAAACATCCTGTGTACAATTTGCTATGATGTTGATGGTATGTTTTTAATTGTCTATGTGCCACATAAGGTGATCGTCGCTGGTGTCTACCACGATGACTTGATGCGGCGACTGATAGTTGGTACCATAGAAAAACGTAGAGGAATGCTGACAGCTGGTGTTTTGATACAACATAACAATGCGCCAACTCGCACAGCTAAAATATCAAAACCTGCCATTCGTGAATACAACTTTCAGGAACTCGCTCATCCAGTCTATTCTCTTAACCTGGTCCCATGTAAATTTAAGCTGTTTCTAAGAAGAAATGAGGGGAGCGTAGAAAGCTGATAGGCGAAGTACGCAAGATATTTCTTTTTAAATGGTATTGGGTAATCGCGTCATCGACATAAAAGTATATCCAAGGGTGAATTCGTAGGAAAATACAGTAGTTGAAACCGGGATTCCTGCTTGCCTACCATGTCAGGCCCAAGTCTTATTGAACACCTATTGCACGTGATAGCTGCCCCACATGCGTGAAAGACACTCCAATCCTTCCAGGTGACGACAGGTTGTTTATGGACAGGGGATCGCGAAATGATACGAAGACGATACCCTTCTCAACCATGACAAACGGACCTGAGATACGCGCATTCTCAGGTAGAACGGTCGCGACTTTGTATTAACAACTGCAGTTAAATGAGCTTAGCTGACACCATTGCCTGTTCCAAACACTACAATTGAAAACTCATTTCGTCCCTACATGGACTTAACAAGCAAGTGCTTACGGAAAAGAAGAGAAATCCCGAGGGTACGATTGCCTAAAGACCGGTGTATCATGTAGTTTCACGAGAAACGATTTTGTGACTTCCTTCTAATGTTGTTCGAAACTAAACTTCTGAATCACTTATCAGATGGACTTCAGAAGGAAGCAGGTGCTAATTGGTTTAGAGTATATCGATGAGAAAGGAATCATTGGAGTTGCATCTCGTAAACGAAAATGCAGAATGCGAACAAAATACAAATCCCAACTTACCAATGCCACCGGCAATAGGCAAATAGGGATTGGTACGTTTGATGGATCCCCGATGGATGGGATGTGAATGAGATGTCGATAGGGGTGGTTGTGGTGTCCACACGGGTGTGGAGGGCTGAACGCAGTCGGTTCTTTGGGACTTGTCCACCAGTGGCGTAGCTTTGCTGACTGGCGCAGAGAAGAGACGAGCATATAGGGAATCCAGTTCCTCGAAAAAGACTTCCCCGAAGGGCGGCCAGGTAGTACTAGAGGGTAGATAATCATAGTGCTTAGAACACTTCCAAGGTGACTGAACTCCATCCAGGAGTGTCAGAAATGCGCGGAATTCATCGGTCTCACATTGTGGTATGACGGTGACAGAAGACGCGTTAAAGGAAGAATTGAATTTGGACACTTGCAGAGTGCATGTGCACTTCTCTCCGGAGTAAGAAGAGGAGTCTGGTGTCTGTCTACTTAGAGAGTCAGTAGCAGCGCGAGGATCAGGTGAACCAGTGGGGCGACTAAGTGAAGTCGTGGGCGAGGCGATAGGAATGGCGACTGAAGAAGCGACAGCGTCTGAACACTCAGACTCCTCGTCCGATAAATCCTGGATAAAATTAAGCTGGTACAAAGATGAGGATTGAGTCCGGGAACTTAGCGACAATGGTGCAGGCTGGTAGACATCGGTGGCTTCGAGTTTGGGAGTTGGGCTAGAGAACTCCGCTGCATGCTTCGCGACATCCAATAGCATGCCGTAAATCTCCTCTCCGCAGCTAAGAGGACCTTCATCTGTACGGCCAAATAGAAACGGTGGATCACAGGAACTAGTTAGGGGGAAATATTCAGAACTCCAAAAACGACAAGCAGAGCGTCGTCTTTGTATCCTACGTTCCGCACTCTTCAAGTATAGAAAAATATTAGGAGATTCGGGGAGAATGTGGGAGGATTTGCAAGAACAGTGATCCGCTTGTGAACAGATGAAAGAGCTGGAGGCTGTAGTTTCATCGGACGGCCGTTGCGCCATAGCCACAAACTTGTTATTAATCATAACCGAACTGAAATAGGGACAAAAAGGAATAGAGAGAAAATAGCTCATAACGGTGGTTCAAATATTTGGCATAATCGGGGTAGGACAAGTAAAACAAAATATTTTTGGGGACGAGAGGCGATTGCCTAGAATAAATACACCACAAAACAACTCGCTTAAAAACAAAAGCAATGGAATGGATGTATCACGTGGTCCATCATAAGGTCATGCGATAATAGCAAGGCCTCGCTTACTGACTAGATCGACTTCGTGAGCTTCAGTAAGACAAGAAGCAGAAAATATCTATATGGAGGCCACCGAGAACATGCATAATAACGACGATCTATAAAGTATACAAAGGTAGTCAGAAACGGTGGAATGAACGCAAATTATTACAAACATTCCAGAGTGAAACGGTTAGAAAATGAAGTAACATGTTTGCCTTTGTCACATGTCATTTTGCTTTTTGGTCAGTTTAATGACTGCGATGTTGGACAATTGAAAGAAGGTATAGATACATGCAGATTTTCTATCGATCTCTAATTCGAGAAATCCACAAGTGTTTCGAACCAGCGGCAGTCTTCAACATTGGATGCACAGCCCGGAAGATATGTGTGAACAACGATAGCTACACTGCAAATCGGTGCTTTCATGTTTTGCCATCATATAATGCCAGTTCTGTGTGAGCGAATAAAGCGCGTGGTAATCAGTCCCACGGCATGCACAGGACCTGACCAAGCCATCTTAATTTAAGGCAGAAGGCATCAGTAGTACGCCAGTATGCAGAACCGACGCTTCGCAGCCACGCAACCACCATCAGCCGCACGTAGGATACTGGGACGGTCAGGAGGTCCCTACGCAGGCTCGAATCCGCGCCTTCAGGTTACAAGGCAGGCTTGTGAGCCTTAAGGTTACAGATCAGCGCCATTTTAATTTGCGCTGTGACAGTCTGTCGAGAAAACTGACCGAAGTAACACAATGTCTCACTAGGTTGTTTCAAACGAGATGTCGCCAACATTCACTAGCTATCCCTCACAAACGCTGAATCGGAGTATTCTGTTTTATGTAATGGGCTGATTACCACGATAGGGTCTTCAAGTTTGAAGTAATTCAGAACAAAAAACTGGCTTGGAGAGCACTCTGAGGACGTTGGAATTATTTGGCACTGACAGAAAGGTTATAATGGTTTGGGGCAGATATCCAATGTAAAACTGCGGTAAAGTTCATAGAGGGTTGGTGGCATCCAGTTGCGAATTCACCTATCACTGTGGCCTCTACAGGAGGCCTGCGCCTACAGAGGAACCATGGGTGACTTGCTCCGCACCACCCAAACGCCCCATATCGGGTGTAAACCCGAAGGAATAAGACCGGGAGGCATGTGGATAGCAGACACGTTTCATCAACGAGGTCGGCGCACACTCTTTCAACACAAAGAGTATCAGCATTCCTGTATGTCTCATTTGTGGAATCTTACGTATCAGATGTGCAGAAGGCGGTGGATAGGCCGTAGTCTGCTCCATATTGGATGCATGTAACCATCGTTTGGGCCTAACACGGTCAAGAGGACCGCGCACCCCGTCCCCTCCAGCAACAACTAAGTGTCGCCTGGAAGCAGTATAACCGAGGTAGCGGTTTTTCGACAGTTAGGCACTTCGTCAACTTCCACATCAAGCGCAGCCACACCGGGGATTCCAACTAAAAGACACACAATATGACAGAAAATAAACACGCAAACTGAACAGCAAATGCGCGACAGTGTAAGAGAAAGCAAATAAAACAGTGTAGTAAGTCTGACATAGTGTAAGCGTGATTTTGGCAAGTGTAACTTAGAGCATATATGAACCGAAGAATACCGAAAATGACAGAAAGAAACAAACAAAATACACAGGTCTTTTGCGAAGGAATAAAAGAACTGAGCAAAAAAACAAAATGGGTTAAGTCAAATCCAGTGTAACACGGAACAAGTGCAAATCACTCCAACCCAAATGCGGTGAGGAAGCATAACACTTGCAACATCAACCTCAGCATAAGTCCATAACAAACGCGACAAAATCGCCCGTGTGAGGTAGCCAACGCTTTTCGGCATCCAGCAGTAGCATTTGACGTGCGCTGGAAACAATAGTTAAGTTGGTATGGTTTTTAAAATTCAATCCGGATTAGAAACCAACCTCCTGAAGGTAATTTCGTGTGGACTGCAGTCACACACACATACACACCCCGAAATGATTCATTTTCTTCGACAAGACAAAAAGCGCTAAATGAATGGTGACATAAAGAGTATTTTGTCCTGAGTTGTGAGGAGACGCGCGTGAGACGATCAACATTCATTTTTAAGCTTGAGCTGTTGCAGTACGGATTCTTTTGTTACGGAACACCCCGCATTGAAGCAAGTTAGTTTTGGCACTGCCAAACGTGGCGACTACAGATTGTGAATCAGCGAATACCTTCGAGGACATGACAGGCCGATGCATTCGCCCAGCTGAGTATGATTGGACTGCTGAGGTCTCGTCATCAACCGAAGTGGCATCTTTCATCGAGAGTAGTGAGTGGCCCCACCGGCAGCAACGGAGCTACCGAGGAAACCGGCAACAGCAGCACGGCAGTGTGTCGCTCCGACGCTTCGCTGTTACGCGACCACTCTATCCGTGTCGCCAGAGGTACTGCCAAGTCACCCGCAGATTCGAACCGGTGGCCTTTGGATCCCAAGGCAGATGCCTAATCCTTCCGGTCAGGTGAACTTGGGTTACAGTTGATCCAGATTTTCCTGGAACACAGTAACTATCAGCGAGACTATCGCTACTACAACGAACGGAAGATGTCCATTTGACTGACGACGGAACGCCCATAACTGGACTATGCGAGTCAGCGAAATGGCCAGCATATTAGCTCTCAACCTAACCTATTATGACGTAGTAAACACATGAGAGCACGAGTCAATTGCTTAGATTTTGATAGCAGATAGAAAAGCTCAAAATTTGGTTTATAAAATGGAAAAACTGGAAGCTATGTCTGGAAAAAAAGAAAGCAGATTGCTAATGCAGTGAAAGTGGATGAAGAACGGAGAAATTTAACGATGCTTACTTTGAGCTACTCTTATCTTCCGCCGTTCGAATACAATGGGAGCACTCTTTAGATACCGTGTGACAGGGTTCTGTGTCAGGTGCGGATGCACTAGCAAGCCCAAGAAAGCGGTCACCAGATCTAACCAAATCAACGGCCAGATTGCTCAAAGGTGGGTGGGCAGAAGGGGTGGATGGTTTTCGTGGAGCGGGAGTTGGCCATCGTGTACGTCCAGGTCGAAGATGCCGGTCCACCGATGAGGTTGGTAATCGCGTGCATTCCAGGTGATGCAAGTGCTCTAAATGCCTTTACAGGAGAACAGATGATGCACAATAGAATGTCACTTAGATCCCAAGAGTCAGGCAAATAAACAGTGGTGAAATGTGATACGGCACTATAATGCACATTAAATAGATTTGTCGTATGTGCAACCCAAAGCTGAAAAAACACCAAATGAAATCTATACCTACGCTTTCATATGTCCTACTAAAATAAGATGTTTGAGAAAAGGTGCTGCTTAGCTCAGGTGTTAAAATTTTATGCTCTTGAATTCGTGCTCTAAAGATGTTATTGTCATACATTTGTTTCTCCTTACGTGAAGTAAGGGGAAATTTCGTTCGGTCTACACAAAGAGCCCTCCGTTAGGGTTACCACAATTGTGAAACTTGAGTTCACCTGATACACAAGGGTGAGACCATGAAAGATGTTAATTCTTAACCAATACTCGTCCGCATTATAGCGGCCTGAATAAAGTGAGTGGTTCGGAACTTTGTGCAAAAGAATCATCCCCAATAATATGACCATTCTTTTTTCCTGTACTTACGCTGTGGATATTTTGAAGAAGTCTAACCGTACAAACATGGCCAGGACGGAAAAAGTTTAACCTGTGGAAGATATTTATTATTATTATTATTATTATTATTATCATTAATATTACTAACTGATTGCTCGCAACACTGGGCACCACAGTGGGTGCCGCCGATAAAACCTTGTTCTGCGCGCTCATAGCTGACGGTATGCGCTATGGTCCGTAAGCAATGCCGCCATGATTCGCCACTACGAGAAAAGGGCAGTAAGAGTCTAAACAGGAAGTGCGCAAAATGTCAATATGATGAGAACGAAGGTTATTGCGATTAGGCCCAGAAAGCAATTGGCACAGCAACAAATAAAAGTCGCTAGAGAAAATCATAACCAATAGATTCAATCTACTACTGGTCGTTAAAATGTGTGATCTGGATTATATGCGGGTTCCGATAATACATCAGGGGAAGGCAGTAGATCGATCGGATGATTCAAAAGACTCGGGAACCAGTTAAGTAAGAGTTTCGAGTTAGTGGTTCCGAAAGACCAGCCCAAATGTTAGGCTGCTTCAAAGGCTAAAAAACGGCGCGCATTAATGTTCTAGCCCTTAACAAAGCGAATATCATGCAAGATTAACATGGGTATAACATGATAATGCTGCCAGGTAGACTGATGAAAAAAGAAATAATTACAATTACAAATCTTCCTACTCATCAGTAATTTAAAATACAGCCTCACTTAGTTTCAAAGGCTATGGACGTAGCATCTAGTGAGATGAAGTCATGACATTCGGAGACTAGCCACTGTCATCTGCTAAGGTAGTAACCTGCGCGGCAGTGGAAGATAGGTTGTGCTATATCCCAGTTAGCTTGCAGATTATGTAGCTCAGCCGACGTCCCCCATGGCTCAGTGGCTTAAGCTGCTGACTAGTTGGCATCTGCCTCTAGCGGTCAAGGGTTCGATCCCCAGTAGGGGACCGACGGAATACGCACCACTGACGAGCCCCAATAAGGCGAAACATGTCTGGTGCTTTTCCGGACTAGGCTATGCTATGTAGCTTGTGAGCAGCTGGGACGAAAACATTCCAGTTACAATTTAAAAAATCCTCCTACTCATTAGTAAAATAAAGAAAAGCCTATAGTCCATGAAGAGGCTGCAATCAGTGTAGGAACGTATATATACCCTCCAAAACTAAGTAAATTGTAAGTGAGGACAAAGCAGAATTCATGAGCTAACCTGAATATCAGATCGTACATCACATCTTCGCAATGAAAGCTCAAAATTGTCCGAAACAACGACAAAGTGACCATGCCAAGCTGCAATACAAGAGAAGCATAAGACAAATGGGTTGGAGGCGAAAAGTGATAGTAGCGAGAAAAGAGCGCTGTGCACATGCTTCAAGTGGGATACCTCTATAGCAATGGAGTGAAAACGGAAATCATGTCTTGTTGATGACAGCAGGTTTCAATTGGAAATGACCTATGAGGTGCGTCACTATGTGAAGTGTGGAATTCAGGCCTCCATGAGTGCAGGATGGACCATTGACACATGACGGGATGTGCTCATCAACGTTCAAAAATTGTTTAGAGACTACAGAAGTAGGCTACTTTTGGAAAATTTGACAACAGGCGTAGAAGGGAAATAAGCTCAACCTGTGATCTTCGGACAATAATGAAAGGTATTTCTAAAAGGAATAGAATGCATGAGAACACCTCTGTGGTGTTTGAAAGAGAGGTTACGACAGCGACATACAATAATGTAAAGTACAATGGAAGTCAAGCAGTACAGCGATAAAAGAGGGAACATTTCAGCAGAAGGTAGCGAAAATAGCGTAGTTATCTCTCGCTTGAAGTGTCACTAAAGTATAGCAAGACTAATAAGGCAGATTTGAAATCCTCCTTTACCTACAATCTAGTAGATCGACCCTGTTTTATTGATTCAGCCAGTCCCAGAAGTGCAATTAAACGAAAGCAAAGTAAACTCGAAGAAAGTAAAAACAGGTCATTCTCGAAAGGAACTAAAAAAACGGAATCGTCAAAAAAGACTATCAGAAGCGGAAGACCGAAAATCAGACCGATGTATCATTCTCGATAGTGCCATATCCAACAGTGTTTCTAGAAACCAGTTTGATCAACCACAAACTCGTTCGCCTGGGAGGCAGTAAAAGACAGCACCATCCAACTGAAAGTAACAGTTGAATAGTAAATGGGAATATCACATGAAGAAGGATCGCAATGGTGAATCGCATCATATTAAAGGACATGATAACAGTAGTATGACTGAATGCAGATATGCTGAGATTCACGTATTAGCCCTAGTAAGGGATAATAAAGAAAGCAGAAACACTTGGGAGCAATGGGAAGAACGCAAAGTAAAACACTGTTTACGAAAGCAACCAGAATGCACGTAAAAGATGAAAGTGTTAGCCGTTCTTCGTGCTGGGTGCTTTAGCTGCATAAGTTTCGTTACCAGAATCAACACGATCAGCGCAAACTTCCAGAAGGAACTGGAAGTATGCAATAGTGATGTCGCCCACTCCGGTAATAAAACGTTTGCAGATAAAACATTCAACTCGAAAAACAACCGGACACACTCTCATCCGTGCTCCGAGCTACAAATATTCCCAATAATTGTCACACGTAAGAAATGTTAGTTAGAAAGACATTAACCCAGAGACCGAGGGAGTAAGAAATCCAGTACCAGAGTCGAAGAAGTAGCGTAGCTCGATTTTTGACCAGTTAAAGGGTTTTTATTGCATTGATGCGGAAAATGATGATGATATACAACTCAGAGCATCAACCGAATGTATTCTCCTTTAGGTACAGACCGCAGTGGTTAGTAGTAGTTGAGAAACACACAGTGATGCGGGTGAGTGAGAGCAGAACGAGTAACGGGTCTGTTGATGTGAACGAAGTGGGTTACGAAATAGAACGATGCGGAAAGAAAATGAGTGTAAAGTATGCTGTTCTACTCAGGTTCCTGAAGGTGGCCGGAGACCGAGTAACTCAGGCGTTTGGCTTTTAAACCACAGATCACGGGTCGGACAATGCGTAGGTGCGGAGGATCTAGCAGTATCCCCAACTCACATGCGACTGCCGATGGTTAAGTGGCAGCGGAGCGTTGGTAAATCAAAATTGACTTATCATTGAAGTCTCTACTCTTCCGCTTCGTTAATATCTGCAGTATGAAATTTAGGAATCCATGCTAGCGGCTAATCGTGAAACGAAAAGAACCAAATGTCGAGGAGAGGCAAGGTACACATGAGTTCGTCGGGACATGTATCCAAGTTAAAGAAAACAAGGAAGTATCATTTGTTATCGGTCGTTCCAAGGCATGATTCAACGCGTAACAAGTGCTGAGTAGTCTTACGTCATAAGTGAAAGTAGACGGTTGATCACAGGGAGGAGCTAAAAGAGAGCGAACGAACGAGATAGAGAAGCGATTTTTTCGAATCGTGGATTCCGATATTTGCGGCAGGTGATAAACAACTTAAAACTGAGTGAGGCATGCGTTTCGTAAGTGTTTCGTCGAAAAGGTTGAATCAAGACGGCGAAATCTGAAAACCCCACGTGCATTAAAGACGTCACTGCGTCTAGTCTCACTAGAAAGAGGTGTAGAAGTATATTCTTAATTGAAATCCGCGAGAACATCGAAAATTTCCGAGTTCGTGAGATAACAGTTAGGAGATAGCGCTTCCAACACTGGTGTAGTTGGAGTGTTCCCTCCCGCAGATAGCAAGAAACTAAAAGCATGTGCATAGGAAAAATCATGAGAGCACTGAGGAGGACAAGAGAACACGGGTGAAATATATCACGGCTGCTGAGGAACAAGCCTGAATAGATGGCCCTACGAAGAGGTTCACGATTATCATCCCGATTTGTTATAAATGCTGTGCGAATTAGCTACTGGCTCACCTGGCCAAATGGAGCCTTAGTGTGTAAAACGTAATGTTAACCGCCAAATAAAAGAACCGATTGGTTTCAAGCCTTTTTAAAACCATAAGTTCACCATCGATTCTTAGCATATTCCAATTTGTCCACAGGAAAGCGTGTACCTCAAAAAGGATGCTCAATAGATACTTCAAGGTGTTTGAAGCTCACGACACAGTGTGTTGCATTCCGATTGCACAGCAGATAGACGAAACAAAAGATGATATGCTGAACAGCGGGTAAATGGGGATCCAATCCAATGTACTCTATCGAGAACACAAAACACCATACTGCTCCTAATAATCAGTAAACGCCTTAGCAGCTTAAATGCCATCCCTAATAGTGGAGACCTGCAAAGGAAGTTGCCTTAGTGATTTGCAAGAGATGCTTCAACAAGTCGAGTGAGGAGAGCCATAAAACGTTAGATACTCATTAACGGTTAAGGTAAATGTGTGCAAATACGAATACTACACAAGTAGACGAAATAAAGTGCGCAGCGGTTAAACGACAGAGTAGTGAATGGTAGAAGCAGAGTGTGGGAGTGAGAGAGTACCATGCAAAACGGTTAATGCGTATTGCAAACAACCGCGATTGTTCACCCATCTGCAAAGATTTATGTGCGTCACTGTGGGTTATAGTTCCAAAAAAGCTAATTAATCCGAATATACCCCAGAATATCAGTTTCTGCAAAAAAGGGGAGGGAGCCTAATGTCATATCCAAGCGTATTTAGAAAACGGCTATGATGAAAGGACAGACAACTGAGTTTGGAAGGGTGTTCCCTGGAACGACCTGCTTGACAGACCCGGAGGGAGAAGTAAGTTCGTCGACAACCTAGACGACTGCGTTGTTGAATCAGCTTCGAGTTGTTACCTCGGGTTGGTGTTCGGCCTGAGTTGCAAAACCTGGCGGCATACAGGACTGGGATTGCTAAGTAAATGGCAAACCATTATGAGGTGTCCACGTAACCACCGGTAGCGTCTAACAACTTCAGTTGTCTCAGCCGTTCCTGTTACGGAAAGCGGCACAAACCCCCGGTACTTTTCGTTGCCCGAAGTTGTGAAGTCCCGAGTGTTGCAACGTCGCCCTTTTAGCCAAAGTTACCAAGCCTACATAGGGCACTCGAATTGGGGACGCAGGTAGGCACTTGGCGTCAGGGACAAGAGGGATAAATCGAAACTCCCGATTGCCCTCAGAAAGATACTAACATCATAGTCACCACATTTTGAAGTGGGTTCAGACTGACCGGAACAGCCGAGGTGGTCCCGCACGAGCATACCAAGGTCACGTCCCTGAGAACTGTTCTACAGATCGTGCGCCCCATGTATGCGAATGTAGACGTACCGGTGGCGCATGTGAACAACTCAGCACTTGTCCACATTTAATGGCAGAGCGTTCTTAACGGACGAACTCTAGGTTTAATCAAGAAGGCGCTGGAGGATCCCGTGGTCGTCTAACCCCTTGTTCGCCAGCTAAATGTTTGTGGCCAACGAAAATTGAAATTGCTGTGGTACTAACCTTGCTAGATCGTTAAGGAGAACCAAGAACAGACGGGACCCAAGTATTGAATCCTGCGGTATGCCGCACTCGACCCAAATTGGTCGGGCAAAGATATTCAGACTCTAACCTCTAATTGCTACTAGTTGAGAAAATAATCGATCCATCCCAACACTGAATCTCTGATATCATATTCCTGAAGCTTGTGAAGCAGGATACAATAAGCCAAACGATGGATAGATTGCATCGGCCCCCGTCTCCCCGTCAAGTACTTTAGTCCAGTCGTCGCAACAATCAGCAGGTTCGTGGTACGTGATCAATGCTAACGAAAACCGTGCTGTTCCGGGCCAGTTCAGTTCAATTAAACAACTATGATCCAGGTACTGAAGTGAGCTAGATCCAACTGCCACGACTCACGTCGTCAGAATAAAAAGGGTAAGAAAAGGAGGTTGAATGCAAACAGAATACAAAGAAATTTAACAGAAAAACGCAAAGATGGAATGGGGATTAAAAACTAGATGTAAGAAACCAAATGTAGGAACACCAATGACTGCGCGACTCCGACATGTCTGATACAGCCTACAACCACTGGTGTGTATCATTCCGGGGCACCCATATAAGAAGGTGGAATGCACCAGTCGATGATAGCGCAGCTTTCCAAATAATTCATCTATGAGTCTGCGGATAGGAGTGATAATATCACGTTTTCACTTTGAGGAGACTATGTTCTCGTCTATGCAACGCGGAAACAATCCAGCAAGTGGTCTGGCTAAGTGCATGGCTACTACCTGCGGTGCTTTCAGGTGAATGCAACCGTTTTCAAAAGAACCATGTGTACGCAAGGATAATAGTTTTATTAGCATCGTTTCTGCAGTGAATGTGACGCCGAGTA